GTCGGCCAAAAATAAATAACCTGGACACCCACGTCGCCATAAGCCGCCCCCTCCCCCCCCCCGAACACCCCGATTTGCAAGTAGTAAATAACTTCACCGTCACCTTGCCTCTCGCATGTTACTGTCGCCAAGCCGCCATGTTTTATTCATGGCGGCAAGAAATATTTTCCCATCAAAAATAAATTACGTGGAGGCGTTTTTCTTTAATAGAATATCAGCCATCTGCTCCGTTCAAAGCGCAGAAAAAAAAAAAAAGAACGTGGCATTCACCGCGATGAAACATTCGTTGTCTGTCGTAGGGGTGTGGCCGTTACACAGGATTTCTGCTCGAGACGGTTTTCCACTAAGCACTGATTGCAGCCATTAAAAATGATGGCAGACAACAGATTTTCAAATAGTTGCACTTTTTTTTTTTTTTTAATGCAGCCTGCAGTGAGCAGCGTACAAAAAGTATCTCTTGTATGTTTTTTTTTTTTGTATATCCCAGAGGCGCAGCAGCTTGTGCAAGTCGGCATCCGAAAAGTCTCCGGAGAAACGTGTTTTCTCTTTGCAGGTCAGTGGGTTGCACAACACGGCGACAGCAAAAGCTTGGAGGCTTATAGTGGACCAAAAATAGGCTTGCTGACAGGAAGCGGAACACTTGTGATTTTATGATAAACTACGCGCATCTTGGCCATGAGCACAAGTGCGGGTAAAAAAGGTTTTCTCAGCAATTGAGTACCTCCTAAAAATACGAACAACTGTCTGTAGCTGCCACGAAAATGGCAGCTAAAGCACTACTTTTGTCCAAATGAAGCTTTTCAACTGACTTCAAAGTCGTCACTTGGCACCGCACCAAGATGTGGCGGGCCAGATCTGGCCCCCGGGCCTTGAGTTTGACACCTGTGCCCTAGGCGGAGGGAAGATCGTTTTCTTCCTCCGGCGATCGCTCCGACTGATTACTTATTTGACTTTGGCCTATCCGGAAGAAGTACCGAGGATTCCGTTATTCTCTCGCTATTGATTGCTCTTGTCACTCATCAGCTCATTTGAACACTCTCATGCCTGATTAATCCGAGCCGTCGTTGTCAAGGCCGCTCAGCAGTCCAACCGCTTTTTTTTTCCCTGAGTTATTATCCTTCCGAGACCGGGCTCGCACCTGTGCAGCAACAAGCCCGCAGGCGTTTCAAACAAAAACACAACAAGATTAAAAAAAAAAAAAAAAAAAGAGAGCAGACAGAAAAAGTGATGCCAGACCTCAGACAACAAATCCCAACACTCCCGCTGGCTTGCGCCTAATAGAAGCTAACATCCGCAGATCAGTGGAGAGTGAAACCGTTTGCCACGTGAATAATCGCCCGCATGTCAAACAAGGGGGGGGGGCCAGATGCTAACGCGCTCCGACAAGGCACGCTCGCTCTCGGCGTCGCGGAATGCGCATGCAGGTGCACGCCCACCCCGACGCACTTGAAGATTCGAAAGCGTTTCGTACTGTCAACCGGAATCAAGAGCCGTTTTTTTTTTTCAGTCTCTGAAAGTCTTTTGTTGAAACTGTAAATCTCTCCCGAACTCCGATCCCAAAACAGTTGAACTCATTTGACAAGATTACATAAAGATGATAGATGATTTGATTTTGGGGAGAAAAAAAAAATCACTAGGTGTGGATATGAACATGCACATGTGAACACTTCCACTAACAACCCGGGCTTAACTTAGCTCCTCCGCAACATGCAAAGATTGTCTCTCAGTCAAGATGGATCACTTCAATTGAACATCTTAACTCCAGTTTCTTTAAAGATGGCCGCATCTTGTTGGCATGGCGCAGAGAATGCTTGATAAAACAGCACGTAGGTGAGTTTTTCCAACAAATATCTGGCCAAGGGTTCCACAGAAAAAATGCTAAGGGATGAATTTGTGGTTCGTGAACAATTAACACGGAGGGCATTACTAAACGTCACCAAACTTGGATACTGACGATTGCAAAGGGGCTACCTGGAGTTTGATACACGCTTCTGATATTACCAATTTGATCAAATTAGCTTTAAAAACACTGGTCGACAGCAAATTTTAATCAAAGATGGTGTGTCCTCACAATCATTAGGAAACATGAATCTCAATAAGCAACATTTCTTAATCTATGGCAATGTTCACATTTTTGAATAATGACTTCTACAAGATTCTGCGGAAATCACAATTTTCCATCACCGGTGAGCTATTTTTAGAGCAGGCTCTTGGACTACTCATGTGGTCCTTTTGGGGTTGGGGGTGGGTACTTGGTCCCCACCGGCACCACATTGGTGAGCCCTGCTGTATGCTAATCGAGTGACTGGGCACAATCAAAGTTGACCTCCACCAAGGCCAAACAATCGAAAATTTTGATCATAACAATTCTTAAGGTTCGGAATGTTGTCATTACTGAGGTGGTTCATTTATTCCTTTGCAAATTGAGGATGTCCATTATTATCATTATTATTTTCAAATCATATTCTGGTGGGTAGTGCGTCTTCAAGTTTTGAGGTTTAGATCTCAGCTCGGGCCATCCAGTGTGGAGTTTGCTTAGGGTACTCTGGCTTCATGCCACATGCCAAAAACCGGAATGCTGAGTTCAATGAGTCACACTGGATGAAACAATAAAGTCAGCAACATGAAGAAGCATCACATGGACATACACAACAATTGTGGAGCGATCATGTGCCAGCGTCTCCTGAAACGCTCACTAAACCTCATCTTTAAAACTACGCTGGGAAGTCACGGCATGTGGTAAGACTCTCCATTTACTTGATGTTAGATTTTTTATTTTTTTTTGCCTTGAGTATCGGTAGCTGGTATCGGCAGTCTCCACAAGTACTTGTATCGGTACTCATTCACCCCTAGTTATGAACCGCTTCGATGAATCACCAAAAATGAATGACCTTCTTTTTGCACAATGCAAAGTTGTTGTGTGTTGAGTAGTTCATGGCAATGGAAACACAGACAGAGAGTTTTTCATTATCCACGGCAACCGCTGTCCTCAATTTGATCTGGGCAGCACAGTGAATGTGTGCTTAGCACGTGTAAGGTTCTGGGTTCAAATATCAGCCACGGATTTCCTGCGTGGAGTTCTCTGGACTGGTTGCTTGTCTATGTGAAAACAAAATGGAGCAGGTCTGTCTCTGTATTTCCAAAGTTTAAAAAACAAAAACAAAAATAAAAAAAATAAAAAAAACACTCAACTTGGACCATGGGGGGGAAAAAAAAAGTTTTGGTCACTTTTGCATTAACAGTGAAACGCTTGAAGCTGCATGCAATCAGAATAGTCCATGATGTGTCAAAAGTGTGCAGTGATGCGCGGAAAGGATGCGAGCCGCGTGAGCACGTATTGGAGAAAAAAAAAAAGGCTTCTAGGGGTCAAGCCAGCATCAAAAATGCACGGCCCAATAAATGCGCTCAAAAGAAGCGAGCGCGTTGCCGAGGGTCGGACCTCGATTCAAGTCATGGCGGGCATTACGAAAAGAGCCACTTTAACCTGTTAAAAGCACGCATGACATGACGGGCATCACCCCGCAGCATCTTTTTTTTTTGGCCACCTCCATGAATGATTCACACAAAAACAAGCGAGCCCGACGCATCCTCTCTATGTTTCTTTGATGGAGAATACACAACCTCACGTCATACATGAATTCACCCCCACTGACTATTAAGTAGGCAGACCTACCTTGCAAAGTATCAGGAAAAACACGGACATGCTGGAGGTGGACACTTCCCAGGAGTGCACCGACAACTAAAGTGACGGCGGACCCCACTCATCCTTCAGTGTAGGTGGGGAGGGGGGGGGAGCTCACAGATCGTCCGAGCGCTCCACTTGACTGTTCCTCCCTCAACTTGCCTCCGGCTTGAAAGCGCAAATGCTCGGCCGCCTTCTTGTCTGAGTGGAAGGAAGATGTCGAGTTGACAAACGGACGACGGGCTGACGTGGGCGGCGGCGAGAGAGTGGAAGTGGAGATGAATCGCCTGTGAACACCTCCGTCCTCCAGAACTGACACCTTCTGCAAAAACAAACAAAAAAAGAACCTCAAATGAAATATTTCAGTTTCGGCGTCTCCTCTGCCCTGCGGAAGACTTTTTGAATGAAACTTTGAAGCACCTTTTGTCAGGAGTGCTACGAAGGGCACCCGTCACCGCGCGCTGCTTTCAGACAAGAGGCATCCCCCCCTTTACACTGCCTCTCCTTCGCTTTCTCTCTCTCCCTCACCCCCCCCCCCC